GATGCCCCTCAGGGCTGCTCAATAAAGGTTCCGTTCTATTTAGTAGACAAAGATAAGGACAGCAGGAGGCCACATCCTAAAGGGCCACTGTAACTCCAGGGGTTGGAGGCAAATCAGTCTTCGGGGTTCCTCTGTCCTGCCCTGTATCCAGTCCTGTCATGGAGAGGGCTCACCAACTTTCCAAATCTCAAAGCAGTGGTGCTTCACACAGTTTTCCTGAGGGCATGGGGAGCAGATGAGCTTCCCATGCCTTGAAAATCTGAAGATTCAAGTGAATCCTCTCCTCCTAAAGTACCATGACCCACATACTGCCCGGTGCAATTCACTGACCCACAATAGTGAAACCCAAAGCCCCAGTGGAGGACCTCCGTGACCCTCTATATGAAGCTAAGTCCTCCACAGGAAAGGTCACAGAAGCATGCCTGAACTCATCCCGATCTCTCAGGTATCTCTCCCTCTCCCTGGGGAGTGTTTCTCCACTGAAGGCAGGAAAGAGGGAAGGATGAGTGCCTACTCAGCAGGAGACCAGGCTCAGCGCTGAGTGTGTGACACTGTGCTCATGGGCACCAAAGACAGACCCAGGCTGCTCAGTCCCAAATCAGATTGCTCCCTGGCACAGGGCTGCCAGGCAAGCAGTTTGACTGCAGGCTGCCTCAGGCTCCTCATCTGCATAAAAGACATGAAAGCCAAATCAGGGACATCTGAGAGAAATGTGCCCAAGATGCTCAGTGAAGATGCTCCCAGAAAAGTCTGCCTGGCTAGCAGGAAGCCAGCATCAGTTTCAGGACGAAGATGTGAATGGAAGCACAAGATTTATTATTATTGGGAACCAGCAGTTAGCGTAATGGCTATGTCGCTGGACTCCCATGTAGTCGACCGCGGCTCGCGTCCCGGACCCAGTGGCTTAAAACTCACGCCGGGTGTGTGTGCGTGCGTGCCCAAGATCCCGAGAGGAGAATGGAGGAGAAGGGATTGTGGCGTGACCATCCCCCGTGGGGGGGTGATTTCTCGCTTTCTGTCTCTCTGTCTCTCTCTGTCTGGCGAGCACATGTGCCTTATAGCAAAAATCTCTCAAAAAAAAGATTTATTATTATTATTATTTTAAAGCTGTTACATATTTGATGTTTACAACTCAGACTTTGGATGTAAGTGTACATCTGTGAAACCAGCACAATGCCATCGGCATATCTATCACTCCTGAAAGATTCCTTCTACTCGACCATACTTTGTGATAGGAACACATTTTAACCACAGGTAGTATTGTTAATACAGGCACTATGCTGTGCAGTAGCGCCAATTACAGTGCCTGATATATGGTAAGAGCTAATGTTTTTTTTAAAAAAAAAAAAGTTTAAGTGTCAGAAGGTGTGTGCTTACTAGAGAAGAGAGATGGGAGTTTGGTGAGGGAGGATAGAGAAAGTAAGGACTTCCCGATGTGGTGTAGTCATACCACAACCCTTTTCCCACCATTTCTCTGTTCCATCAGGATTTGGAGTATGCACACATTTGTCTGTCATGTTTCTTAAGCTGCCAGGACTGGGATTCAAATCCAGATCAGCCATGTGGGACCTGTCTTTTTATGCACAGCATTTAACCAATGTGCCATGGGGTCAGCCCTCAATAATCTGATGCAAGGCTAAGATTAAGTCTGGGAAGATAAAAATATTTTCAAATGCTCATTATTAGACAAAAGTCAAGCTCCATTTTCATTAGCTATTAGAATTCCCTTTTCCTTTATGAATTGTGTCTCATGAATTGTCTATTATCCAAAAATGTTTCTTAAGAGATGAGTTCTCTAAATACTGAGCACATTTGATATTTATTTTTATAAAGACAAAATGGTTAATACAATTGTAACCCTGGAACAATATAGAAAATTACAGTTTGACCACTGTCTGAAACTGGAGGCAGCCCGGTAAGCTGGTGCCACCATGTGCCGCTTGGGTTGAAAGGAGAAACAGGAGGTACTGATGGACAAGGAGGCACCTTCTTATACACCATTCATGGTGATCCTCATGTCACATTTGCACATTTTTTTGGAGGTCTCAACCCCTTTGAAATTTTCTTTAGAAGACAGGTGGCTGGTGGTAGAGATTCTGAAGAAATGGAAATAGACAGAGATCCTTTTAGTGCTTTTGGATTGAGTATGAATGAATATCTAAGAGACAGGAATTCTATGGGGCCATCCACGTGAAACAGGATCCTCCAGTCATTCATGAACTTAGAGTATAACCTGCAGAAATATATAGTGGTTGCAACAAATGGATGGAGATTTCTTGAAAACAGTTAAATCCTGATTGAAGGAGTTATAGATCTGAGGACAAAATTCTAATCATTAAGATTTAAAAAGTGTGGGGACCAGCAGTTAGTGTAATGGCTATGTCACTGGACTGCCATGTAGTTGACTGGGGTTCAAGTCCTGGACCCAGTGGCTTAAACTCATGCGGGGCGCGTGTGCGTGCATGCCCAAGATCCCAAGAGAGGAGAATGGAGGAGAAGGGATTGTGGCTGGCCATCCCCCCTGGGGGGTGATTTCTCGCTTTCTGTCTCTCTGTCTCTTTCTGTCTGTCTCTGTCTTTCTGGTGAGCAAACGCGCCCTATAGCAAAAACCTCTCTAAAAAACAATAAAAACTCATGCTGGACACGTGCGCATGGTGCCCAAGATCCTGAGAGGAGAATGGAAGAGAAGGGATTGTGGTGTAGCCATTCACCCTGGGTAGTGATTTCTAGCTTTTCATCTTTCTTTCTATCCGGCGAGCACAGGTGCCCTATAACACGCACAAAAAACTCTCTCTTTATAAAAAAAAAAAAAAAGAAGAAGAAGAAAAAGAAAGACAGACAGACTACTCTGCCACCAATCTCTGGAGTCACACTGGCTCCTTAGGATGCTGCCTCCTACTTCTCTTCCTCACTGTCTAACAAATGGAACCCAATCTCCAGTGAGTAGCCCAGGGTGGAACTTGCAGCCCAGACCCCTCCAGGAGGTCCAAAAAGCACTATAGGCTCTTTGCCTGGAGATAAGAAGGCCACGCCCCTCTAGCCACCCAGCCAATCAGGATGCAGTATGTTGCAGAGCGGGCTTCTATAGCCAGTAGAAGTACGTATGGGTGGAGACGAGCAACCTCTCCTACGAACCCTGCGGGCACCCTTACTGTGGCCTCAGCAGAGCGGCTTTAGGCTCGCGACCGCGTGTTCAGAGGCACTAGAAGACCTCTTCTGGTACATTCTCTCAGGCCTCCCGCTCGATAGCGATTTTGTCCCATTTTGCGGACAGCGAGGAAGAGAAGCAGGAGGCTGCTTCCCTACAGAGTCTGTGACCAGAGGCCTCTGGACAAAGTAGGCCTCGGGCTTCGTGTGTACCGCACAGTACCCAGATCTGTCCGCAGTGACGAAGGCACCATGCTCAGGCTTCTGAGACAGGCCATGAACTTCTTCCGCAGGAGGATGGACCCCACCCAGGAGCAGCAGCCACAGCAGATGGAGCTCCTGAAAGGTACCCCTTTGCTTGTTCGTTTATCCATGCATGCAGAGACTTCCTGGAAGGGAACTCCTCACATCAAGGTCGGGCAGTCACTGTACGTGTAGCAGCACTGTGTGTGATGGGGGCAGGGCGTGCATGACAACATGGAAGGTGGACGGGATCTCCAGGTCCCCCCTTGATGGAGAGCTTAGCCGGTGATGACTCAGGCCTGAAAAATCTCATGCCATTCTAAAGTGGAAAGCTGTTGGTAGAAAATGCCCTGATTGGCTGTTGTGTTCCTGCATTTCCCCACGTACTTGGAGCACCCCGTGTCTTTTTATCTTTCCAGCAAGGAGGGAACTCTCTAATTTGAGGGCGAATGTGGTCTTGTATCCAAAATAGGTATGTATTTGTGGTTTAGTGGAGGAGTCATGTCTCTGGAGGGCAGGGGACGCTTGTAAAGGCATGTAGTTGAGGTCACATCCCCAAACATTACTTTCTAGCTTGGCTTTTGCAGAGTTGGCCATATCCAACACTGAAAACAAGAACAATTCAGATGTTGTTTGGGGCTAGACTTAAATCTCCAGTTCTCTTTTAATGCTCTATCTGTTGAGACAGTCAAGATTTCTCGATGCAGCTAATGTTCATTATGATAGTGAAAATGATGAGGGTAGATAATACCAGTGAACTCAGAAAGCCTCTCAGTGTAAAGATATGGTAGTAACAACTACCCTTACATTAAGTTGTAGCAAGCACTCACAATTCTTTTTTTAAAGGTTTATTTTATTTTATTTTTATTTATTATTTTTATTTTAAAATTTTGCTATAGAGCACATGCACTCAACAGAGAGAGAGAGAGGGAAAATAATAAAGTAAGCCACCAGGTCCCAGATTCAAACTGTGTTTGGCCATGTGGGAGTCCAGTGCCTTAACCATCAGGCCATCTGCTGACCTGGCACTCAGAGTTCTAAAGAGCTGACATATGCAATAATACAACAACCTATTGAGCAGAAAATGTTATTGTCCCCTTTCATAGGTGAAAACAGGATCAGAGGAATTCAGATATGTGCCCAGAGTTCCCCTGATGGCCAATTTAGGACTTTTTTTAAAAAGGTTTTTAAAATTTTAAATTTAGTGATTGGTGTTATTATTATTTTTTTTATTTGTCCAGAGAGAGAAGGGGAAAGTGAGAAAGCAAGCCACCAAGTCCAGCACTGGAAATGTTGTCAGCCATGTGGGAGTCCAGCGCCTTAACCACCATGCCACTTGCTGGCCCCGGTCAGTGTAGGACTTCTTCAAAGTGGATATTTGCTTGTCTACTCACTAATGTGACCTTTGTTTACCTATTTCACAGCTAACAGCCATTTGAAAATCATACGAGGGGTGGTGACAAGTTTCTATGGAGATTATGGCTTGATTAATGGGTCCATCTACTTCAGCTGTGACGTCCGTGAGGGAAATAGACCCGTAAAGATTGGACAAAGAGTGACTGCAATTGTCGAAGGAGATACAATTTCTCTTGGATTTAAAGCATTCAAAGTAAGATGTGTATGTGTTTGGGAATTAGCTTATAATCTAGAGAACCTTTGCTCATTCTTTTCTTGTATCAATCCAACCTTTTTAATGGAACCTGCAGAATGGATGTAGAGTGAAACTGGGAATCCCACTTAGTTTTATTTTTCTAATTTAAAATGAATTGCTATAGGGCACATGTGCTCACTGGAAAGACAGAGACAGAGAAACAGAAAGTGAGAAATCATTCCCCAGGGAGATGGCCATGCTGCAGTCCCTTCTCCTCCATTCTTCTCTCAGGATCTTGGGCACACACACACACATAACACACACACCTGGCCTGAGTTTAAGCCGCTGGTCCGGGACTTGCACTGTGGTCAACTACGTGGGAGTCCAGTGATGTAACCATATGGCCATCTGTTGGTCCTGTTATTACTGATTTTAAATGACAAAAAAATGTTCTCCTAGTATGAAAACAACATGGTTAATAATTCTAATTATTGTATTCTCTATAATCATGGGACTTACTTTCTTCAGGTTAAAAACACATTTTCTGTGGGATGCATTCACAGTAGTGGAATTGCTGTGTCTAACGATGTGTCTTTTGAATGTTTTTTTGGAGAGGTTTTCACTATAGGGCGCGTGCGCTCGCCAGACAGACAGGGAGAGACAGAGAGACAGAAAGCGAGAAATCACCCCCCGGGGGGATGGTCACGCCACAATCCTTTCTCCTCCATTCTCCTCTTGGGATCTTGGGCATGCACGCACACACGCCAGACATGAGTTTTAAGCCACCGGGTCCAGGACGCGAACCACGGTCGACTACATGGGAGTCCAGCGACATAGCCATTACGCTAACTGCTGGTTCCCCCTTTTGAATGTTTTTAAGATAGCTGTATTGACATATGATAGCTGTCTGTCCATATGACAGACTTATTTTCAGAGTACAACATGGTGACTTCTGCAGAGTTGTAGTTTGTAGATTTACAGAGGCCTGTGAACTTCACCTGGTCCCGAGGAATTCAGGTTTTCTAATTCACTCTAACAGTGCACAAAGTACTGGCATTATTTTACCATTTCAGTGTCTGTTACCAAAACATTATTTGGCTACACAGTAGTAACAAATTCTCTCAGCAGCATTCTGGCAAAATGCCTGTTTGAGGGGTTAGCAGGAACACAAATATTATCAATACAAAATCTTTGCAAATATGAGATGTGAAAAGCTGCATCTGAATTTTATTTGGTATTTAATTTCATCTTAATGAGAACATGTCAATTTTCTTGGAACTTGTTTTTATTTTAACAAGAAAAGAAAAGAAAGAAAATGACAACTGCAAATACAAAGTTAAAAAGAGAAAGGAATTGGGGGGAACCAGCAGTTAGCGTAATGGCTATGTCGCTGGACTCCCATGTAGTTGACCGCGGTTCGCGTCTCAGACCCGGTGGCTTAAATCTCACGCTGGGCGCGTGTGCGTGCATGCCCAAGATCCCG